GAGAGAGAGAGAGATGATGATGCCAGAAGTAAAACAAAGGTTTTCATGATTTACATTTTTTAATGCACCCAAAATGGATGCATCACCTAGTTTTGAGTATATCAATTAATTTTAAGTATCAGAGCAATCATATGGTATAAAACCAACCATCGTTTCATAGAAACTAGCAATAATCACAGGCAAAGGCCGACAGTCTTTCATAATTTATCTCACTATGTCACAACTAGTGCATATGTGCTTCATGCATTCAAACATGGAGACTTTCTCGGCAGCAAATTCAAACCAGAATCCTCACGAACCTGAAGTCACATCTAAATACCCATAGAACGAGAGACATTGATCCACTCAAGTTGCAGTTCCACTTCACCGCACTCCACATTACGTAGCCTGAGGCAAAGGTCCTGAATGACTTTCCCATCTACCCACCGAATTAAGCTCTCTTCGGCCAAGCAGTTTTGTCTGCACGGTGCCACCTTTCTGATAACTGTACCACTTCGGACACCCTCTAAATTGAGCCTTACAGACTCCATAAAGGACTCAATTTCAAACTCGGCATCCCCCATCTTGTCATCCCTGCTGAATATGTCCTTGTCGTACACATTCTGCAACAAAAAAGTAGAAGAGTGATGCACAACACAGATAAAAAGACCAACATTCCACTACACACTACCCAGGAATATGCATTTTTTAATTGACAAATGAATGAATGATCCTAGTGTAGTATGGAAATCATGTCATGTTAACAACTTATGAAGGATAAATAGGGTAGATCTGGTTCTAAAGTATTTACGAGTGACACTCATAATGTGCTCATAAAAGTAAAAGAAAAAAAAAAAAAAGACAAAATGAAAGTTCTACTTCAAGAAGGATCATTGAACGTGCCTCACAAAGAGAGAGAGAGAGAGCCAGAGAGATGTATGTTTTTGGATTTAGAGCTCTTTCAAAAGATGCATAACTGGATGAACTATAGGAGGGTGACCACGTAAATAGGCTGTCATATATGGACCAGAAAACTATGAGCATCATTGATGTTTCCTGACATACGGTTCAGTGCATTGGGAGGACCTTCCAGTGAACCAAGAAGGTTATGTGCGAGGGATATCTTGAAATACTAGTACCCATGTTTTATTGTAAACAGAAATCCACGCTATATACAAAAGAAGAAAATGGTTTCATTTTTTATAGATGAAGTACATTTTCTTGTTATGTCCAAATATATATGGAACAGTGCGACTGCGAACACAGCAGGACCAAGAGTGCTACCATGGCCAAGGTTCGCAACTGCTTTTCTCACTTCAACCTCTTCAGATAGTCTTACTAGAACTTTCTTCCTATACTTTGGTGAAGAGTATGCTGGTTATTTACGGCTTTTAATCATATCAGCAGGGAATAATATCTTAAAGAAACAAATTACTTCTTGTTTGAGATTATTTCTTGCTTTCCGATTGATCAATAAACTGATGGGGAGTTTGGCAGCCCATTATTGTCCTCTAGTGTATATCTAGTGGCGTATCACAGTGCTGTATACGTTCTTTAGAGTTATTTTCCTTCATATCATTTTGTAACTTTGTAAAGGTAGCATAACTGACACCAAAAAATCTAGAGGAAAAGAAGATGAGAAAAGAAGAAAATTTTAGCCACAAAAGCACCTCAAAGGCATGCCTTGTCTGAGGCAAGCAAGCTTCTTCTTTTTTTTCTTTTCCTTTCAATTGAAGTCTGAAAGTTCTCCAACTCTTCCCACGTGAGGCCACATATCTCCTTCTATACATAACAAACTACATAAAATAAGAGAAATTAAAAACCTCCCTCTTTCCGAATCCTACACGCCTCCTTTCTACAGATCCACAAATCTAGGAAATAGGCCTGCTCTGATACTTTCTTCCAATGAAATCAAGAGAGAAAAGAGAATAGAAAGAAAAAACTTCAGCCACAAAGACACCCAAAATCACAAGTAGGAAGAAAATAGGAAAGAGGAGCATGTAGGAATATGAAAGAGGGAGGTTTTCAATCATCTCGTATTTTATTTACTTTTTTATATATAAAAGGAGAGATGTGGCCTCACATAGGACTTGGGAAAAATTTTAAATTTTCAGTGAAAAAAGCAAAGCTTGCTTCCCTTAGAGAAGAAGTGCCTAGCTGACTGGTTCTCTGTCTTGTTTCCTTGTGGTGTGCTTGACTTGGGTTGTTTTTATGGCTGAAATTTTCCTCTTCCCAACTCGTTCATTTCCTCTAGATTTTTGTGCATCAATAAGCCATCCTGTAAAACATGTGTTGAACTAATGCAACAAGCATTTCTCATCTTGAGTTCCCCTCATCTCACATCTCTCCCATTGTTAATTGATGTCCTTTTCGCTCAACTTCGTTTTCTTTCTGTGGTTTAATTTGAGAGTTTTTAATGAAGGAATACTCGTAACGAAGACATCATCATCATCGTCAACACTTTTTTCCAACTAATTGGGGTCAGCAACACGAATCCTGGTTTGTCATTCTACTCTATTAAGGGTCATACCCTTAGTGAGGCCATAAGTCCCCAGATCTTTTTTCACTACTTCCAACTAGGTCCTTTTGGGCCTACCCATTGCCATTTTTGAGCCTTCCACTTGAACTAACTCGCACCTCCTAATATGTATTGTATTGGGTTTACACCACACATGGCTAGCCCACCTAAATCTACCCTCGCTCATCTTATCACCTATTAGTACACCTAAATTTTCTCGAATGTATTCATTTCGAATTCTATTTCTTCTTGTCTTACCACTCATCCATCTCAACATCCTCATCTCTGCTACACTCAATTCTATAAGTTTTTTTTTTTTGATCGCCCAACATTCTGCCTCTTAGAGCAAAGTTGGTCTCATAGCTGCACTATAGAACTTGCCTTTCAACTTCATTGGTATGCGGTGATTACATAAAACGCTGGTTGCACATCTCCACTTCGCTACCCAACTCTAATTCTATGTGCAACATTTTCTCCAATCTCTCTATTTTCCTGCATTATCAATTTGAGAAATCGAAAGTATGCTCTTTTTGGTATTTCCTTGCCATCATTCTTAACTACTTCCTCGTCTCTACTCTTATTATTACTAAACTTGCATTCCATATATTAGTCTTAGTCTGGCTAATTTTAAAACCTTTAAATTCTAGAGCATCTCTTCAAAGTTCTGACTTTGAGTTGACATCATTTCGGGTCTCATCAATCAAAACTATGTCATCCACAAACAACATGCAACACGGTACCTCATCTTGTAGGTGCCGCGTTAAGTCGTCTATTACTAAGACAAAGAGGCATGGGCCCAATGTTGACCCCTGATGTAGACATATTGTCACTGAAAACTCACTCATCTCTCTACCAGTTGTTCGTACATTAGTTAGCGCCCCATCGTATATATCTATTATCAAGTCGATGTAATGTGAAACTCCTTTCTTTTCCAACAACCACCAAGTCAAATGTCAAAGTACTCTATCATGAGCTTTCTCTAGATCAATAAAGACCATGTGGAGGTCTTTTCCCTTTGTCCTAAACTTTTCAATCAATTGCGTAAGTAGGAAAATAGCCTCAGTTGTTGACCTCCTTGGCATAAAACCAAATTAGTTATTTGATACACTCGTTTCATGCCTTAGTCGTTGCTCAATCACTCTCTCCCAGAGCTTCATAGTTTGGCTCATAAGTTTGATCTCTCGATAGTTTGTACAATTCTTATCAAAGACACACTTTCTTTAAATGGTGTGATGACTATAACATCGTCTTTTCAATCTTGCATAAGAGATTTTGACTCAAATACAATTGCTACCTAGTTTAGTTAAAAAGCTAAAATTAGAAACCCTCGCTCTCCATCAAACTGGGCTCCTTTCAAAACCTGCTGAATTCTAATGGATCATACACCCTTGACCAACAGAAACAACCATAAAAGGGAACAAGAATAAGACAAAAAGTAGGGTCAGAGAGCCAGTTTCTTTTTCTTACAAGATTTTGCCAAACCTGGCCAAACCATTAGCTAAATTACAGTCTCGACCAGTTCTAGCCCAATTGGAGCCACACTTTTTTAGCAGAAATGTCAAAATGGAAGCCCTCAGGACACCTAGTTGGACCAACCAGTTCATTTTAGTGCTAACGACATGGGTATTAGTGCTGACAATAGTTTGTTTTAGTGCTTACAATTGTACCTTTCTGAGATGATATAAAAGATCTTAAAATGGAAGGCCTACAGGAGCTTCTAGGCTCCAACAACTATAGCAACCAGAAAATATAAACATATATTTTCCAGCAATATAAATTCTAGGTGAAAGAAACAATATATTTCCATATGTTCTATGTGTCTATGCACAAATAAAAGGAACATCAATAAGACAATAGCTCATTTTTAATTAGCTCATTTTTAATTTTCATAAGCTGAACAAATGTTACTGATTAAGTTACTGGTTGAGGCAAACCTTTACATAGAAGTTACATATGTTGCAACTCTGTATGCTGCAAAACTCTACAGATAATGGAAATCACAAGCATACGAAATTAAATAGCCATGCTATGACACATGAATAATAAATAAATGCATTTCCCTGGTTTTAAATAATAATAGTAACAAAGCAGTTACTTACAAGCTTTACAGGTAAAATAGGATGACTAATTGAAAATGTCAACTCTTCATTCCACACGGGATTGACATTCTTCTCAATCACTCGAGTCTTTAGTTTCTGAAGCAAATGTTCCAAGTCGATAACATTAGGGGGTAAACTAGGAAGACATTAATCAACACAAAAAAGTCATATCAAAGAATATTGAAAAAAATAATAATAGGCAACTAGAAACATGCACTAGAAGTAACAGAATGATTAAGAAGTGCAACACCAATAGTACCAACATCGATGGGTGCGAGAGTGAGTTTCTTAAATAACCTCTTATTCTAAAAATTCATGAAGCATGGCAACAAATTAATTATGCTAAAAGCATAACAATGACTTAGCCACAAGATGTAAACTTCACAATGTTGGTTGGTTGGTCCAAGTAAAATCAAGTAAAGAAAAAACTCGTTTGGAGTTGGAAAAACATGGATGAGTCAATTCATCTAGCAAGATGGTTGAGTTCTCTAAAGAAAAACTCAGGATATATCTGAGTATTCGATGAAATATAAATTCCTATTTTCCTTTTGACAAATACAAGGCATTTCCATTGTGGTGGCCTGTGTGGCGTGGTTATGTGACGAGCCGGCTTCGATTCCCAAACAGGAATTTTGTATATCTAGAAATCTTCATACAAAAATGGAAAAACTAGCCAAGCTTTTCTGAGTTCACTTTTCTAGTCCACTAGTTGAATCATTTTTGGCCATGACAAAATTCAGCCAATGAGTTTAAGTTTTTGAACACTAAGAAAAATGAGGCTTATTAGTTATAACTTGATTCTTGGTACAGTTCCAGTTTGATTTAATTCACCATCTGTTATATTAAAACGTTTAAAGTCTATAGTATATCTATTGTTCATTACCAAACAGATCACATTTTTGGAAAGCATGTATTAACTCCCTCCCTTTTCCTCAATCATGTGAATCTTATAATTTTCTGATTTGCGGTTAAAAGCATTCTACTTAAGAGAACCTACAGCTTGTTTAGGTACAATTAACAGAAGAAGAAGTAAAGCTTGAAACTACTTTCAGAATATATGTACACTACAGATTAAAATCTGCACTTGTGGAAGAGAGAGAGAGTTCAATTTGAATAATGGACCAAGCTGCTTTTGAATTTGCTTTTTTTTTTTTTGCCCTAACAATTCTGAATTCTTCTTATAACTTCTCATTATTTTAATTACATTAATTTCAGAAAAGTTTTTTCTGATCTTTTGTGATAAAGAGTTGGAAATGATACAGCTTGATTAATTAATCAGAGATTGAGATGAGGTTTGATGCCTTGGAACATAAAAATCATCACTTGAATCATTCAAGAAAGTTGATCAGCACAGAGTTCATCAGATATCAACAAATGAAGCCATCTGAACATCAAAGTCCTCAAAAACTAGCATGAATCCCAAAACTCAAAACACTTAAAAAGAAAACCATACTATCCACCAAACAGTCAAATAATTGTGACTGCAATATCAATTTAATGGTGATCCGGAGAAGAGAGAGAGAGAGAGAGAGAAAGAGAGAGAGAGAGAGAGAGGGACCTGTTTTCCCATGGTGAGAACAACGTAAGGATCGCTGCTCCGGATGTCTCTGACGGCCAAATTGACGCCCTTGATTACTCGAACCCTCAGCAATCCTATCACCCTCTCCATCCTCTATCAACACAAAGCACCTATACAACTCTCTCTCTCTTTCTCTCTCTAAAACACAGAGAGAGAGAAACACAAGGAAATTCAATAAATTACAGACCCTCTCTATCTCTCCACCTAATATAGGTGAATGGACCAAAATCCACCAGAAGAAACCTCTAGACCTTTCTCTCTCTCACTCTACACAGGAAAAGGAGTCAACACAGGATAATTCCAATCTCTCTGTAGAGAAGACAAATAAAACAATTCCCAAACCAGAATATCTCTCCCTCTCTTACCAACTATATTTAAAATATCTCAACATGTCATTAACAATACCAAGCTCTCTCTCTAGCTCTTGTCCTTGCACGGGGAAGGAGAGGTCAAAACCAGAAAGCAGGTGGAACCCCCACAAGATTCCACCCCTCGCAAGCAGAAACTCCCCTCCCACTCAATAATACCAAAGATGCAAATTCTTCTCTCTCTCTCTCTCTCTCTAACACAGCGGAAACCCCCACCAAACGTGGGAAATTATTCCTTGTGTTTCTGACCGCGTGACAGGAAAGTGCTTATTTCTCTGACAAATGCGAATTTCCCGTTTTCACATTTCCACTCTCGCTCCGGGTTTCACAGCAAACAATGGGAAAAGGGCTGCCCGCATTTCTCGCCACGATTTCTCACACTCCAATCGCATTCGAGCCCTTCTCCTCTTTCTCATTCCTTCAATTGGCCACTTCCTCTCTCTCTCTCTCTTATTTGTTTGACCAGGCAATGGAAGCATATTATGCTCCCATGGGAGCATACTGTACAAATGCTCCTTTTGTAAGACGCCGTGCTGGGAAGGAATTTGGGATTCATGAATGACACCAACTAATTATTTTTAAAATAATAAGGTTTCTGAATTATTCAATGCTTAGCTCTCGCCCTCCATAAATTGGATCTTGTACAATCTCATGATGTTTTTTTGAGGAAATTTATTTTATAATATTCTATATTTTTTATATGAGGATGGATGTCACAATTATTATTGACTGTTATATTTGAAATTGAGTGGGTGAGAATGTGTCTTTTATGCATGAATCTTAAAATAAATTCTTTTGGATTTTGTGACATATTTTTATCTATTGGATTTTACATTTAAGAGCTAAAAATGATTGTGATATCTTAGTACCAAAAATAAATAGTCTTATAATGTACAATGCCTTTTTTTTAAATACATAAAGAACGAAATTTGATGAATCTTCTAAATTTAGCCGTAAAAATTTGTCATCGGAATTTAGGGTTTCAAAAACGAAAATGGTTTGATAGGGCTGCAGCCCTATTAAAGTAACTAAAGCCTCACCTCATAACTCAACCAAAATTATAATTCAAGTATTGGAAAACTTTTACATGGATCATCTCAACTTAAACAATTATGGTTGTACAAAAAATTAGGATTTCAAGCTTTAAAAATAGTGAAATTATCTACACAATCCATTTTGCCCTAAAAATAAGTGTTCATACATCCGCAAGATCTGTGTCATTCTTTTAGTTTCAAATTTTATTGTTGGAGTTGAAAATCGATTTTTTAGTATTATCATGGAAATTTCCTTTGTTGAAGTGTTTTTGGGAAGAGGATTTGAGGTGAGGTTTTATTTTGTTTTGATAAAGTCTTGGCCTTATAAAAACCTGACGCAATTTAAAATTACGGGCGACTAACACCGGGCAAGATATACGCATTTTAGAAAGAAATAAAATTTAGAAAAAAAATAGCAAGAAGACAACAAAACGTGCGAATCTGAGTCCGCCGATACAAGCCCACAAGCACAATAGTAAAAACAACGCCCACAAAAAAAGTCTCTCAACACCATAAAAAATTAACCACTCATCATATGTATGTGCTTCTTTGTTTTTTTTTATATAACTTACAACTAGCTTTTAAAATTTCCTAACAAACCCTATTCCTTTAAATATATAACCTATCTACCCACCTTAATCTTAACAAGCAAAACCTCTAGATCGTCACTTAAAGATTTGCTTCAAAGATTTGCTTAAATGGACTCTAAAAAATAAATAACCACATGTCAAACTCTAAATTGACGTTATCAAACTAAAGATTGTCCTGCCAAAAAAAATAGACAGTCTCGATCCGAGAATATGAACTCATAAAACAAAGGTGAAAAATGGACTCTTCCCAATTGTAAAAAAAATAAAGAACTAACTAAAAAAATATCAAAAGACGTTTGTCCAAAAAAATAAAATTTGTAACCCTAACTCCTAAAATAAATATAATTTCTAAAAATTAACTCAAAAAAATCTACCCACATCTCTAAAATAAAATTAATAAAAATCAACATCAAAATTTGTAGCAACCAGATCTTGATCTATATCATTGTCCTCTGGTTGGAGAAAACTCGTACTTGATTTTAAAAAATGCACTAAGATAAAATTTGTATTAGTCTCGCGTCTTTCTTTAACCCAAGTATTGTAAACACGATCCCGAAACCTATAAGTTACTGCACTAATCAAAACAAAACGATTGTGCTTAGAAAATGATAAGCCCTCGAGGGAAGGGTCTTTGTATGCCGATTGTTCGACCACATAAACTTGCTGAAATTGCTAAAACTTAACCTTAGGGCATACCATGCATGCATTTTTTTCTTCATCAAGTATCTTCAAAGGCTCGATTTCCTCAGGGTTTGGGTTGATATCTTGTTTGTCCATCTCTCCATTGATGAGAAGGTTAAATATCATTGCTGCTTCAAGGTTAATTTCTCCTATTTCATCTTGTTCTTCATCAAATATAAGATCTTTATCAAAAAATTGTCGTACATGGCATCAAGAAATGATGATTCCAGCTGAAGATCCAAACCTACTTGTTCTTCACCTTCAACTGGATCTTCATCAAATTTAGGTGGATCACTTTGTCGAATATGAGGCTCCCTATGTGGAGCATGCGCATGGAACGGGCTCTTGAAAACAACATTTGACTCACTATCATCATCATCGTGTATCGGGGCCGAATTTTGTGCCATATTGGGTCAGCTCCTCTAATTGCCTTCTCCATTTTTGTCGTTAGATGGGCTCATTCCAGATACACGGCCATAAACTATATCCATTAGCCACGATCCACAAGAATCGATTGACGCAGTTTAAAATTATTGGCAACTAACACCTGACAAAATAACCGCATTTTAGAGAGAGAAATAAAAAAAATTGAATTAACAAGTAGATAGCAAAACGTGCGGATGCAAGTCCTCTGCTACGAACACCACCCACAAGAAGGCGGGCTCATACAATAGGTGAAAACAGACTCACCCCAACTACTAAGAAATAAAGAAATAACTAAAATATAGCAAAAGAAGTTTTTCCAAAAAACAAAATGAACCCTAACTCATAAAATAAATATAATTCCTAAAAACTAACCCAAAAGAATCTACCTACATCGCTCAAAATAAAATTAATAAAAATCAAATAAATTTTTTGTAGGAACCAGATCTTGATCTGCATCAAAACCTTGTCCTTTAAAAAACGCTCCCTAAGTTTAGAAAATCTTATATATACCACTCAAGTTGGAGTTTCTAGACATGACACGCTATTATCTCCAATACGGTATATTTTTGCATATACCCGCACATAAAAAAATTCGACTTTTTTTTTTTTTTACCAAAATGACCATCGTAACCCACATTTCTTACTCTCTCTAAGCAAGCTTAGCACAAAATGTGCTGGATCGACACAACTTGAATATAGAAGCCAACAATGAAAGAAAGACCTATATGATCTTTTACCGGGGAATACAATTTTTTTTTTTTTTTTCACCCTTTTCTTTTGACAAAAGAGCACTTACATGTGGTCTTTATTATAATAAGATAAATTTCAAAATAAAATCAACATACAATAAAATTAAGATCTTAACAACTTGATGCCATTAAAACAATTATGCACTATGCTTGAGAATAAAAGATAAGATTGCAAGAAACAAAAGGAAGAGTGCCGGAGATTACTTCAACCAGGCTTATTATACCCCACACCGGGTCACCACCATTCGATGGCACGGGATCAACGGTCTAGCTTCAATCTCGGACCGAAAAAATAAATTTCGGCCAAGCCACACCAATGGAACGTGAACCCCTTTAATCACAAACTCAAACCCTAAATGAATTCTCTTAGAAAACTAGTTTGAGAGAGATGGATTCGCTTTTTGTTAAACCCTAAAACCCTTAACCATAAATCTATATTTGAGAGATAGGAGAGAGAAGAACTCCATAACCTAAACCATTAGGTTCTTTCACAATGTGGGAGAAAGAGATCAAACATGAGAGAGAGAAACTTGCTTAAGAGAGAGAAATAAAAAGATAAGGTGTAGAGAACTTGGGTAGAGACAATCCATTTTTTATAAGCTTGAACAAGATTAGGGTTTCTTAGAGTTTTTCTTGGCTTACCTCTTCTTGTGAGATTGAACATAGACTGTCGATCAATGGTGACTTGTGGGGTGAGAGATCTGAGTCATCCATTTCATAGATGAGCCATCAAGATTACGGAAGGTGCATGAACCATTATCTCCCTTTTCTTAACTATTTTTCCATCAATAGAAATTAAATAAATTAAATCTAATTAAAATATTATGCATTCCATAATCTTTCACAAAACATTCCAAAGATATATCAAGTCAATATACACTTTCAATATTTGATCAATATATAGTCAAAATATTCCATATCTTATTTGACCATATGGCATAACATAATATTACTAAAACATGAAATAACTTAAACTCCAAGAAAGAATCCAATGGGTGGGGAGTGCCACCCATGTGTGGCACATGTGGGCCCCACCCACTTGACACATGGTGGGCTTATATGCACTATGGGCCCCGCCATGGTATTTTATATAATTTTAAATTATCAACAAAAAAATTTTAAAACATTATTTGAATTTCATAATTTTGTAAAATCAATATCTTCATTTTTATAAGTCCAAAAAAAATTATAAATAAAATATCAAATGACTCATAAAAATTCAAGTAATAATTCTAAAATAATTTCTATCATAAAACAAATATAATTAACTTAACTTGATGGGAAATGGATCCATGTGGTTAAGGAATTTATTCTGAAATCATGGGGCACTCCACCTTCAATTGTGGACTACAGACCACACTTGCTTTATCGAACCGACCCAGTGTGTCCCTTGATCCACAGTCCAAGCAGGGGCTCATTAGCAGGTCACTAAAGTCTGGCGGATGAGTCAAGGGGTAGCAATCTCAGTCTGTGGATTACAGGTCAACCTAAGAGACAACTCAAGGTCACCAAGACCTTATACGACCACAGCTCTATGCGACCACAACTCTCATACATGCATACGCTTCACCCTAAAAGGTGGATTTCTAGCTTTCTCGAACAATCTATCGATATGTATGTCGTGTGATGGTATATGGATGAGGTTTTGGCCCTTGTCTCTGTAGGCCACCATCACACACAAGGATCACATAGTCCATCGGCTCACTCATCCTGGTATGTTATCCGACCTCATCAAGGGCTAACCCATAAACCCTCATCGGTTTGTTCTTCATGCCCAGGTAACATGGGTTTTTTCCAACCGATTGGCCTAGATCGTTAAGCACATATTGGTATCAAACCATTGTTTGTTTAGTATGGTCCACGAGGGACCACACTCCCACTGAGTTCATGTTCCACTATATCATTTTATTTTACT